GGAGCAGGAGCTCTTCTCCGGGGGCAACACGGGCATCAACTTCGAGAAGTACGACGACATCCCGGTGGAGGCGACGGGCAACAACTGCCCCCCGCACATCGAGAGCTTCAGCGACGTCGAGATGGGCGAGATCATCATGGGCAACATCGAGCTCACCCGCTACACGCGCCCGACGCCCGTGCAGAAGCACGCCATCCCCATCATCAAGGAGAAACGGGACCTGATGGCCTGCGCCCAGACCGGCTCCGGCAAGACGGCCGCCTTCCTCCTGCCCATCCTGAGCCAGATCTACACGGACGGCCCCGGCGAGGCCCTGCGCGCCGTGAAGGAGAACGGCAAGTACGGTCGCCGCAAGCAGTATCCCATCTCCCTGGTCCTGGCCCCGACCCGGGAGCTGGCGGTGCAGATCTACGAGGAGGCCCGCAAGTTCTCGTACCGCTCCCGGGTCCGCCCCTGCGTGGTGTACGGGGGCGCGGATATCGGCCAGCAGATCCGAGACTTGGAACGCGGGTGCCACTTGTTGGTGGCCACCCCGGGGCGGCTAGTGGACATGATGGAGCGCGGCAAGATCGGACTGGACTTCTGCAAGTACCTGGTGTTGGACGAAGCGGACCGGATGTTGGACATGGGCTTCGAGCCTCAGATACGAAGAATAGTTGAGCAAGACACCATGCCCCCGAAAGGTGTCCGCCATACTATGATGTTCAGTGCCACTTTCCCCAAGGAAATACAGATGCTGGCCCGAGATTTCTTGGATGAATATATCTTTCTGGCCGTAGGACGAGTCGGGTCCACCTCGGAGAACATCACGCAGAAAGTCGTGTGGGTGGAAGAGGCAGACAAGCGATCGTTTCTGCTCGACCTCCTGAACGCGACAGGAAAGGATTCCCTGATCCTGGTGTTTGTGGAGACCAAAAAGGGTGCGGATTCTCTGGAGGATTTCTTATACCATGAGGGATACGCCTGTACCAGTATCCACGGAGACCGATCTCAGCGCGATAGAGAAGAGGCCCTCCACCAGTTCCGATCCGGAAAAAGTCCAATTCTCGTGGCTACAGCCGTAGCGGCAAGAGGACTGGATATTTCCAACGTGAAACACGTCATCAATTTTGACTTGCCTAGTGACATCGAAGAATATGTGCATCGAATTGGTCGTACAGGTCGTGTCGGAAACCTTGGCCTTGCCACCTCATTCTTCAATGAGAGGAACATAAATATTACCAAAGATTTGTTGGATCTTCTCGTTGAAGCAAAGCAAGAAGTGCCATCTTGGCTAGAAAACATGGCTTTTGAACACCATTACAAGGGTGGCAGTCGTGGACGGTCCAAGAGCAGATTCAGTGGAGGATTTGGTGCCAGAGACTATCGACAAAGTAGTGGCGCCAGCAGTTCCAGCTTCAGCAGCAGCCGGGCTGGCAACAGTCGCAGTGGTGGTGGAGGAGGCGGCCACGGCAGCAGCAGAGGGTTTGGTGGAGGTAGCTATGGAGGCTTTTACAACAGTGATGGATATGGAGGAAATTATAGCTCCCAGGGGGTTGACTGGTGGGGTAACTGAGCCCGCTTTGCCATGGGTCACTCTACCAAAAAATACAGCAACCACATGTTATTTAGCCAGACTATACCTTGTATAGTTTGAAGAATTCACAGCACATTGCCTCCTGTGATTTCCCCACTGACTATTTTTTAAGGAAGCTAAAAGTCACAAGAAAAGATGAAAGGAGCAACCCAGAAGCGCCGTTCAGAAGGTGGTTTGAAGACTTGATTGTTGTAGTTTGGATTAACTCTCCTCTTACCCCATCCTACTAAGGACTAAGGATCATTTGTTAGTTAATGTACTGTACCTTTAACTTTAGACAGCTTTTATTCTGATGTCCCGTTGGCTCAGTAATGCTTAAGATATCAAATTGTTTTAACAAAATAAATTTTCTGAACTTGGGCTAAGAAAACGAAAGAAAGGGACAGGTATTTTTTATGGGAGTGGACTGTCCTTGGCAGTGCTCAGAAGGTACTCTCAGGAAGGCAGGGGTGTGGCCCAGGATGAAGGATGGCATTTGGAAATGTATAAATTACAGCCCAGGGGTTCACGAGCAGTTATGGTTGAGATATCTGTTTAAGTGTACAGTTCTAGTTGCAACTTAGCACCACCAGGAAATGCAATACCGTCTTCCTTTTCCTGTGTACTTTAAACAATCCTTTGTTAGTGGTCATCCCCAGTGACGTCATGGCAGCCTTTGAGTCACAAGTCAGCGTTCATGCTTAGTACCGTGATGTAGAGGATATGAACGGCTCTGAATAAATGGTAGCGGGAAACCATGGAAGAAATGGTCTATATGCTTTAATTCAAGCAGGTTTGGGAAAGACGTGGGTGTTGAGTAACTAGAGAATCACTTTCTCTTGTGGGAGGTGTGAAGATAGACAAGAATGGGATATTTGATATTAAAGAACACAGAAATAGTTCCTCAATTTGAGCAGGCATTGATGGAATTTCCATGTGTAATGATGGAACTGCAAACAAATGCATGCCTGTTCTCATTTCTACCTATTTGTTGTAGAGAACGTCATCAATAAACCACTACATCTCACTTGGGATCATGGTTTTGGTTTTTGTTTTGAGGCAGGCCCTCCTGTTGCCCAGGGTAGTCTCTTAACTCATTACGTATCTGAGACTGGCCTTCATCTTCTTGTTCCTCCTACCTCCCAAGTGCACGCACCACCATACTTGGTGGGATCATGAATTTTTAAATGGCATTGTTTACGTAGACAGTTCCCCCAATATTTTCTCATGTCCTGCTCCATGCCCCAGGACATCCTACCTATCAAATTACTGCCCCTGGAATAACTGCTTAGATAAAAATTAGTTGACATGGAATAGTTACCTTCGGCCATTGGTCAATGAGTGGGTTACGTTGTCTACCTAAGGCCAGAAACACAGGAAGCTGTATATATGTGCGCATGTAAACATGTTCATATAGTTTAAATTTGGGTAAGTAGATATGCTGTGGATTGATTCATAAAACAGTTTGTCCTATTAGAAAAACAATGTCACAGCCAATCCATTATTTATGGTCCAACCCAAGAATTCCGAATAGTATTGACCCTCAAATTATAACTGCTCATAAAACTATCAAGAGTTCTTTGTGGCCTCCATCAGTACTAACCCCTGGTTGTCTACAGAGACCTCCACTCCTCAGTCCCCTGAGTCTCCCTTACTTTACTCTGCATGTGTTTATGCTAGGGCTTCCCTGAAATCCTTCCCTGAGGTCCACTTGAGACCTTGTTTATATACCTCTACTATCAAAGCAAGTCTTGGTCAAAGTTCATTTTTCTCCATGAAACTAGCTTTAAAAGTTACAGTCCCAACAGTAATGAGAAGTAATTATACTTGTCTTTTATGCCTGTTACCTTGAGCTCACTCGTCTAAATGTTGAGATTCTTACTTTGTGTTAAAGTTTTATGTTTTTTTTTTTGTTTTTTTTGTTTTTTTAAATACCATGTTCCCTTCCCAGTTGCCCTTTGCAACTGCACTAAGTTCATGGTCAGTCAATGTGGGTTGAATGGAATCCCAGAGAGCCTTTATTCCCCAGATGTGCTTTCAACTGCACTTATCCTGGTAGAGTGTGGTAGAACACACCAACAGTGTGTTCTACCACTGCACCAACAGTGTTGTATGTGTGAGATGAAGTGAGTGAGAGGCACGCAGGCGATCCCAGGGGAATTGTAGGAATTGGACACCACTGATTGGGGGTGTGTTAGGGGTAATGGGTAATTACACACTTAAATACAACCGAGCTCTACATCAAACAGAGTGACTGTTCTCCATGTACTAGTCGTTTCAGTTCAGATGGTGTCAGTAATGATTTCCAAATATTTTAAATCTTTAAGCTCAGTTTGACAGTACTCTGGAAGCTTGAAGAGCACAGGATCTTTTCTGACTTGACTGGAAGTTGAGAGTACAGCCAAGCCACCCAGGACAATTTGTGTTCTATTGAAAAAAAAAAAGACAATAGATTGTCCCATTTACCAAGTATCCCTTTCCTCTATTAATATATTAACATGATTTGCTAATAATAATAATAATGTTAACATATATTAACATAACAGTTAATGAGCCTCTGGTCATACTTTACTGTTGGCTAATGTCCACACTTTACTGAGATTCCGTTGGCTTTTCCTAGTGTCCTATTCCCGGCCCTGTCTAGGACACTATATTACATTTATTCAGTAAGTCACCCGAGGTTCCTCCTGGCTGTGACAGTTTCTCAGACATTCCTCATTTCTGCTGACCTTGACAGATTTTTTTTTTTTCTTTTGAGTGCTGGTCAGGTACTTTGCCCTACAATTAAAACTAGTTGGATTTTTCTTTTTTCCTCATGATTAGACTGGGGCTGTGGGTCTTTAGGAGCATGAGCATAGGTAAAATGTCATTTTTTTGTCATGGCAAGGACACACACAGAAATTCTGAAGTATCAGAATTGATAGGGCCCTAAATCAACTGGCTGAGGTGGTCGAGCTGGCAGGTTTTCCCTCTCTGCTGTGTGCTTGATTGTTTTCCCCTCCACAATTTTGTTGCTGTTGTTGCTTTTGGAGACAGGGTTTCACCAGACTGGCCTTGAACTCTGAACCCTCCTACCTTGGAGTCTTTGAACTAAGAGTACAGGCGTGCTTCACATCTGCTTTCTTTTCGTTCTGCACCATGAACCACCCACATTTAAGGCATGGAGAGTGTAGGCTCTTCTCCCTTCCCTTCCTTGGCCCATTCATTTTATATCCGTATGGAGCAATGGACGTGTGGAAGTTCCACTTACAGTCTTTTTTTTTTTTTTTTCTTTTTGGTTTTTCCACTTACAGTCTTGAGTTACAACTTTGTTGCTCAAAGGTTGTACGAAGTCTGTGAAATATGAAAGGATGTTTTAATGTTGAGATAGATTATTTTTAAATGTATAATTATTAATCACTCCACTGAGGTCACCTGCATTTCTCTGTCTTACTCCATTTCCTTCCATTCACAGAACCTCTTTGCCCCCTGTGTTTCCCTTGACTCTCCCAAGATTAATTGTTGTAGATTCAAGGGCCTGCTGGGGCCAAGTCCCATCTGGGGTTCCCTGAACCCATTCACTTACAAATCAATCCATATAAACTGACCATGAACTTGGTGTGGTTGCTAAGGGCAATGGAAAAGTGAACATAACATTAAAAGCTTAAAGTGTATGAAGGCAAAGCTTTGGTCACTGGGAGCTAGTTGAGCTGGTTCCAGTGTCTGTCTGTTATACCCTTGCCATGTGGTTTCTGGGAAGTCAACAAGTACTTCCTTATTTTTCTGGTGTGTTATTTCAGCTCCCGCTGTAGCTGTCAGCTTCTTGTTTTAGTGACAGATACCCATGAGAAAGGATTTAAGAAGGGGAAGCCTTATTTGGGCTCACAGTTTGGTTTCACTCTGCGGTCATTCAACCTTTTTGCTTTGGGTTTGTGCAGTATAGCATGTGATGTCAGGAGCCTGTGGAGGGAAGGCCTGTTCACCCCAGGGGGGTGAGAGGCAGAAAGAGGATGGGATGGGGACTTGATATCCCCTCTGCTCTAACTTCATTTCTGTTGCTGCGATGAAGTATCTTAACCAAAAACAATTTGGTAGAGAAGGCTTACAATTAGTCCATCATTATAGGGAAATCAAGGCAGGGCTTCAGGTAGCCACATCACATTTATAGTCAAGAACCAACACAAATGGGAGCTCACTTGCTTGTCATCAAGTCTGTTTCTCCACTGAGGCACAGTTCAGTTCGGATTCCTTGCCAGGGAGTGTGTCTCTCACAGTGGGCTGGGATACTTTCATGTCCCTTAACTTATGACATTCCCACAGCAGACATGCCGTGGGACCAACTCACTGTAGACAGCCCCTCATTGAGACCATCTTTCTGGGTGATTCTAGGTTGTGTCAAGACGCCAGCGCTAATCATCATACCCTACTGGGCCCTACCACCTCTCAGTAGTGCAATGGCCTAAGAACCAACCCATCAACACACCCAAGAGTCAAACTATAGCAGCTAGTAACTCACTCAGCTATTGCTAGATGCGGTGTGTGTTAAGTTCTATCCCAGCTCATTTGGTGTCTTGCTTTCTGTAGTTTAATTCTCAGATCCCATTGCCTGTGATAGAGTTTTTTTTCTCTTGCTAAAAAAAAAAATACTCATATCACTAATTGGATGTTTACATTTTCCCTTCTAAATGTTTATGTTTCTCTTTATATAAGGTATTGGCATGAAATTCATAATTATTCCTACAAAGTGCATGTGCCTGTTTAAATAATTCTAGGGGCTTTGTGAAATGTAGACATTGTAAGAAGCAAGGCTCTAAAAGTTAAGTGAGTCCCCATTGGCATGCCCTAGTGTTTATTTTCCTGCCTCCTGGTCCTGTCTGCACAGCTGACATAAAGCAACACATTGACCTGGAAGCTAAAAAGAAAAAAAAGGCTAGCATGAATGTGGACAGATACTATAAATTTATGTCTTGGGTCAACATAATCTGCTCTTGCCTCCCCCTTCAGGACTTCTTGCCCCCTAG